CACTGTAAAACTACAGGGTTGCAATGTGATAAAAAGTTCAGATCACTGAAGTACTGGTATGTATAAGCACTGTAAAACTACAGGGTTGCAATGTGATAAAAAGTTCAGATCACTGAAGTACTGGTATGTATAAGCACTGTAAAACAAAGTTTTACAAGGGGTCTAAATTGTCTAGTTTTCTTATTTACACATGACAGGTTCTAATTTCATAGGTTAAGTCTTTATTTGTTATATAATATTATTTGTTTTATTTATTCCAAATATTTCATTATATCAGATACAAAACTATTGTTGATGCAAATGAGAAAAGTGGACGAGGTCGAAGAAAATGGGAGTTTTCAATACAATTCTCAATTTTTAAATTTATAATATATTTCAATAGATTTCTTAAGGATGGGTGCAGCCAGACAGAAGTTCTGTTGATCGTACCTCTAAAAGATGGCAAGGCAGATGCCATTTTGATAGCCATCCTCGATCGGCTTTCATTGTACATCCTTACTGTTGGGATGCTAGGATCGCCAATAGAGATGGTTGATATTAACTTTGTTTGTTTAAACTTCCATTTAGCATGCACCAAAATACACTATTCCATTGTAAGGTATCAAAACAACTCCCTCTAAGTTACGCTAACAATAATTTCTATGGAAGGCCTTGGCCATGAACCAATATGGTGACCATGGCCATGTGTCATACTGGGAGTATTCAGGCTCCATCTGTAAACACAGAAAGGTTATGTGAGAGGTGCATCTAATATACCTTTATTCCAGAATCTTCCACTTCCAAAGACTACGGAACCTTTGCTGTCAAATACTCAAACTAAATCAATGACTCACAGGAAAGGAAAAAACAGTGAAAGGGACAACAAGAGTATCTCATCTGTAAATAGATCATCTTGACAAGATATGTTTGGCCCAGTCAACTACTAGTATGTAGTACAATGCATGGAAATCTTTTAGGGACTACAAAAATGTTTCTGGCTGTATGGTTAACCAAAGATTTAATCAAACAGGCCTACTCTGTAACCTTGCACAGACACTAAGGTGAAAATGTGACTATCTTAAAAAGACCAAAAAGATAATGTCATTTAACTTATTGGAAAAAAAATGCCTGAACTATACCATAAAACAAATAACTTTACAGATGTCTGATGGTGACAGAAGAGTTATGTTTAACATACAACATTAATTGGACAGAGTGATGTTTTTTATGTGAATTTAAACAACTGGGTTGCTACTCTTTATACACTCCTTTTTAAATCACACACCATGTAAATATTCTTTATCATTAATTTAGCTATAATCAAAACTAGAACTGCCACTATCATGGCGTGAATACCCCCGCATACCACTTTGTCAGAATCAACAGTGGCCATTTAGAGCTCAAGGACAACCTCCCTGCCAAATCTGAGGTTACTAAGCCAGTGCATTGCTAAGTTATGTATTCTATATACTTCAAATGTGAAAATGTCAAAATCAATACATTGCGGACAGGACATTCTTTAGCAATTGAGAAGAAAAGCTTTTTTTTGTCAAGGTCCCTGTGACCTTGACCTTTGACCTCAAAATCAATAGGGGTCACCTTATAGTCATGATCAACATCCATACCAAATATGAAGACTGTGGGTCAAAGGAATCTTAAGTTAATGGGTGGACAAACTTTTTGAAGTCAAAGTCCCTATGACCTTGACCTTTGATCCAGTGACCTCAAAATCAAAAGGGGTCATCTACTAATCATGATCAACATCCAGGGTTCTCGGGGACGCTTATTTCGGCGTCCCGGTACGCATGTTTAATACAGCTGGACGCAAATATTTCAGAGCAAGGATTCCACGTACGCTTAATTTTGCCTGGGGACGCATAAACATTACCGATTGTTTACAACCACTAATACACAAATACGTCTGCGCGTGTCAGTCTATAGGTAGGCGGTCCTATGCACATCGACCCGTGAAGCGATAAGCCAATCAGCGATAACGCTTTCGATCATTATCACGCAATAGAGATCAGACTAATGTATGTACACGCGCTGTAGGTGTAATTACCAGATATAACACGAGATGATAATTTTATATATTTGATCAACAGTTAATTGGAAATTAGCAAATTTTACCGACAAAAGGATAAAAATATTGACTATTTACGCCGCAAATTGAAAGACTGTTTTCTCAAATTACAAATGAGTGTAATTTTGAATTATTGTCGAATATTTTCGACATTTCGGCATTTTCTAGGCAAAATTTTGCTTTCATTTCATTCTGGCAAAAACGTTCTATAAGAATATTAAGAATTTGAGATATTGTGACGAAATTCCAGGACAACAAACCAAAATACACATACGCTTTTCTCTGATATTTAGATTTTATCCGAAAATTGATCCCGATCATCAGCAATTTCACTTCACCAGAAACCCTAAAATTTCGCAAAAATTCTCAGTTTCCAAGCCAAACATGTGAATGAATTGTTCCTTTATTATTCAATCAACATTAAATCTTTAAATATCGATCTTCAATTTGCCCCCTTTTGAAGATATTTGCTAAAATAATTGTCGTTCGGATGAATCTCTTACACACTGTGTGAAGCTGTACACGATTTTCCTATTCATTCCCCTAAACGCTGCCTATATACATTTACGTTTTTTTACAAATATAAACTTTTTGTCTTTAGAGTGGACTTATTTTACCAGAATAAAATTTGATTTGGTATAAAAGTGAAAAATAAAAAAACGATTTCCATGTGTTGATGCATTATAATGAAATAATTTCAAAATAAATATTAACAACAAAACAATAATTATACTATGTAGTTCAAAGTTTGTTGTGAATAACTATAAACTTTGAAAGTCTCTCGAAGATTCAAAATATCAGCAATGCTATTGTGAGCATTATCGTATAAGTACCTAATCTCACACCCAACCTATTCTCAAACCTTTCATTCATGTGCTGTTATTTTTTTACTAGAAGTGACTATGATGTCCTAAACTTGTGTGCATAAAAGCTTTGTTTCTGACAGACATGTCTGCTGATGTCAAATGAAAACAGTGCATAGGAACAAATATTTACATAACATATTTTATTACTTAGCGTAATTTCATACAAATTGCTATTACCTTTGTAAGTCCCATAAATAAACCATTAACTATTTGTGAAAATGAATATTATAGACAAAATATCTTAAAGCAAGCAACTGCATCGTGTAGGGCACTTCATTGTCATGTGATAGTCATATAACAATCACTTCATTGGCTAAACTAAACAGTAGAATTTTAGAGAGACTTGAAGGGGTTTGAGATTAGGTTCTTTATTTTAAGAGGCCATGTTAGTTTTAAAACAGAGGGTTGTGCTTTTCCAAGATGGAAATAGAGCTTTTTTAATAGTTGAAGTTCAGTCAAAATTTACAGAAATGTTACATAAAGATTAAAGTGTACATTATGTAAAGATTTTTTGTAAAGATATATTTTTATTTACATTATAAGACCTCTTGAATGCTTAGAGGTTTGAGAACTGGTTAGTCCACGATAAATAACTAATCTGTAACATATTAATTGCGACGCGCTTTTGGACTCCAACTTTTTTAGGGTTGGGAGTCCATGGACTCCATGTTTTAAAGTCCTAGTGAGAACCCTGAACATCCATGTCAAATATGAAGACTGTGGGTCAAATGAATCTAAAGTTATTGGGCAGACAAAGTTTTTGAAGTCAAAGTCCCTGTGACCTTGACCTTTGACCTGGTGACCTCAAAATCAATAGGGGTCATCTACTAATCATGACTAACCTCCATGCCAAATATGACGACTGTAGGTCAAAGGAATCTTAAGTTATTGGGCGGACAAGCTTTATGAAGTCAAGGCCCCTGTCACCTTTGACCTGGTGACCTCAAAATCAATAGGGGTCATCTACTAATCATGACTAACCTCCATGCCAAATATGAAGACTAAGGGTCAAAGGAATCTTAAGTTATTGGGCGGACAAGCTTTTTGAAGTCAAGGCCCCTGTGACCTTGACCTTTGACCTAGTGACCTCAAAATCAATAGGGGTCATCTACTTATCATGACTAACCTCCATGCCAAATATGAAGACTAAGGGTCAAAGGAATCTTAAGTTATTTGGCGGACAAGCTTTTTGAAGTCAAGGCCCCTGTGACCTTGACCTTTGACCTAGTGACCTCAAAATCAATAGGGGTCATCTACTAATCATGACTAACCTCCATGCCAAATATGAAGACTAAGGGTCAAAGGAATCTTAAGTTATTGGGCGGACAAGAAAAAACCGACGGACGGACGGCCGGACGTTCTCACAGGACAGTAATTATGTGGCTACTCTATTGTTCTCTCTATTGTTCTTTTTAGCCACACAAAAGAAAATAGCCACATAAAAGCATTACGGAATGAATGACATCAAAGAGAAAGAACAGTTACCTATTGTCCCTCTAGCCACATAATTACTCTCCTGTGAGTGCGGACGGACGGACGGACGGACGGACAAGCTGATTCCAGTATACCCCCCTTACAACTTTGTTGTGCGGGGGTATAATTAAAATATACTTGATATCATCTATAGCAACATGCCTCTAGATTAATGCTTATTTTCATGAAAAATCTTAAAATGTATTAAAAAAGTAAAATACTGTCAATTGAACAAAGAAAGTAATAAAATTTAAACATTGAAAGCAGAGCTTAAAATCTACCAAAATTACCAAAAATGGGTAAGACTAAGTCAATACGCAAATAAAGCCCTAATTGAACTAATTGTGTTAGTCAGGCAGTAGAAATACAGTCATAAATACATTGTACTGCAAAATCAGTCATTAACTGCAAATCACAAGTAAATTACATGTATTTCTTGAATTGTGAATATTTTTACTTTTCTAAAAATCTAAGTACCTTTTATCTGGAGGCATACAAATTCAAATAATCCACTTAAACACGTTAAAAACTAAATACATATTCTATAACAGTCATACCAGCTTAACTTTTTTGTAAATTATCTTTTTTGGTTAACTTAAAAGTAATTAATCATGTTTTCCCTCTTATGCAATCTAACATGTCTTACCAAATTGCACTTTCTGATTGCACAAGTACTTACAAAAGACAAATTTCAATTGGCTTTCACCAGTATGTATTGACAAGTGTCATTTTCTACTGCATTTCTGATCACACCAGTAACCACAAACCCCACATTTAAATTTGTTCCCTTCTGTATGTTTCCTCATGCAAGTATGTCCATCACATCAATGATTTCATTGGTCGCGTAATTACAGACATCACATTTTAATCGCTTCTCCCTGGAGTGTAATGTCATATGGCGTTTAAGGGTACTATTTGATAGCTTGAGAACTCGAGCTACACGGGTAATCACAGTTCTCATATTTATTATATACAGTTTCTTGCCAGTATGTTTTCTCACCTGCAATTTCAGATCACCCTTTCACTTACTTGCATAATCACATACATCACATTTAAATGTAAACATTTTTTTGTTGTTTTTTTCATGCTGTGTATTATCAAAAGTTTTTAATTGACATATTTTGTGTGCAGAAATAACCACACAATTTACAATGTAACGCCTGCTCACCTTTTTAGAATAGGAATAAGTACCATTGTTGTATGGTGCCTGATCAAAGAGGAAACTTAGGCGAGTCCTCAGATCTTCCAATAAAGTACACATGTAGCAACACATTCCATCCCCTGCGTCTGCCATTGCAAACTTTTGAATTTTCAATCAGTACAATTTTCAATTTCATGAAAAGTTGTCTTCCCTGGTGGTTCTGCAAGTGTATTTCTTGCATTATTAAAACCAGTTACCTGTCCTGTCTTTATATCTTTTTCTGTAGACAAACTGATGATTTAAGAATGCAGTCCCCAAGCATTATTCTTCAAAAATTCTGTAATAGAAAACAAGTATTATAATCCTAACATCAAGTTAAATCTCAAAGAAGCTTTTAATTTTACTGTGTCCAAAAATGTGTAATTGTTTACAAGTTAATACTTTTCCAAGAACATGCAATTTGTTATGGCTAAATTACAAACAAAAGTACAGTAGTTGCTTGAAAATATGTGATGCAATTTTATGTTTCTTAGATTATTGTAAAACTATATAGAGTAACAATTAACAAAATTGAACTTCAATAAATTTCTCTTTAGTCAGAATGTTTTACTGATTTGTCATTTTTAAAAATTCAAAATCATCATAAGTATTTCACCGTTCCGGTATAACCTAATGGTTTGCAAATAGTGCCTGCTTTGCGTCTTTAACTCAGGGCTGCAGATAACATGCGTATTTGCTTCATTACCCAATTAAAATGTCAAAAAATGCAATAGAAATAATAACTAAGGGTAAGAAAAAGTAAATAAATTCTTATTTATGCAATGACACCTCTGGGGCGGGGCCAGTTTTGACCCCAGGGCTTTTATTTGAGCAAACTTTGTAGACACTTACTAGCAGATGTTTCATGCTTAATATCTAAATTCTAGCTATTTGGGTTTTTTCAAAGAAGTATTTTTAAGTTTTTGCTATACACATAAGGAAAATCAATGACCCCCAGGGCAGGGCCAATTTTGACCCCAGGGCTTTTATTTGAACAAACTTTGTAGACACCCATTAGAACATGTTTCATGCTAAATATCTTAGCTCTAGCTCTTTGAGTTCTTTAAAAGAAGATTTTTAAGTTTTTACTATATGCATATAGGGAAAATCAATGACACCCTGGGGCGGGGCCAATTTTGACCCCAGGGCTTTTATTTGAACAAACTTGGTAGACACTCATTAGAAGATGTTTCATTCTAAATATCTGAGCTCTAGCTCTTTGGGTTCTTTAAAAGAAGAGTTTTTACTATATGCATATAGGGAAAATCAATGACCCCCTGGGGTCACACAATTTGATAAACAAAACTAGTTGTGCGTGACCTTTCTTATCTGGGCCACTTATGTAAATTATGCGCCCGCTTATTGACTTTTAAGTGTACTAGTTGTCAGATATTTTTAACTTATGTTGGCGCCAATAAAATCGCCAATTAAAGATTTTAGGCGCAATTTGTACGAAATTAGAAGGCAATTAATTGAAAATTATGATTTTTATAACATTCCCGGTTTCCAAATATCATACCGCGGTATGATATTTATTTTTTCATGTTAAAATATATCGGTATAACCATCCTTATTGCTCAGTACTTATTGATTCTAGTAACAGATTTGAAAATGTGTCTATTAGCGTATAAGTTTTTACACAATCAAGCTAAAAAAAACTGTTTAAGTTCCTACACAATCAAGCTAAAAAAAACTGTATAAACCAAAGGAAGTGGCTAGCCGTACGGCTAGCCAAAAGTTCTAGCCGTATGCGAGTCACGTACGACTAGCCAGGACTCACTATATTTTCAAAATTACCTATATGGAAGTCAAACATGCATATGTTATTTTGTGCCTCATGATTATGATTTGTTGTTTTATTTGTATGAAAGATGACTTTTTTGTGAATTAAGCACATGGATCGAATAAATAATGATCAGAGTCACGGATTTATATTTTACTGTAATATAAATCCGTGTCCGGGTGGAATAAATAAAAAGAACTTTTTAAAATTATATGCATATATGTTATTTTGTGTGTTTAAACGAGGATTTTAATCAAGTCTCTGCATTTGTCCTTGTGTGTTCACTTTAATAAAAATCCTCCGCCATTTTGTAATAAATGAATAGTTACGTACAAGCGTTGTATAATCTATCTTGATAAAAGTGTCAAAGTTGCATGTTATAAGTTATAGAGCGTCGTTGATTTTCATGCTTATCATTTGTTGTTTTATTTGTATGAAAGATGAATTATTAAATCATTTTTGTTAATGAAGCACATGGATCGAATAAATATTGATCGGAGTGGAATAAATAAATAAATAAATAAAAAGAACATGGTGATAAGCAAAAATATTTCTATAATTTTCAAATACAGAAGATAAACGGAACGGAATATGCAAACTTTCCTATATGATGGACAAACTTCTATACCGTCAGTAATTGACTCAATTATCAGAGCCCAACAACAATTAATTTCGGTGTTTTTTTCCATTTTAAAGGTGTCGAAAATTAAACTAAATGAAACAAAAAAGGATTATTATCAAAACTTTGTAAACTATTTCAATTGTCTAAATGCAACCAGATGACAAAGATCGATAGCCAACAATGCGATTAATTTCTCAAGAGTAAACATAGGAAGACAAATGCTGTTTCTTGGTTCAAATCCTCGCTTAAAGTCATAAATAAGTTAACATATGCATTTTCGACTTCCATATAATTTTGAAAAGTGCCGTACGGCTAGCCAATACAGTGCGTCCTTGCTAGTTTATGTGACTCACGTACGGCTAGAACTTTTGGCTAGCCGTACGGGCCTGTACGGCTAGCCACTTCCTAAACCAAAATCATCTTTTAATAAGTAGATATTGAAAAGAAACATTAATACGGGGAAGTCAAAGACCGGGCCCGCGAAGCGGGTCCAGGCTTTGGCTTGCCCGGCTATAGACTACACGTGTATATTTAAAAGAAAATCAAATAAAAAACAATTAAAAAATATATAGAATTCTATACCTATCAATGAAATTTTCAGTGTCAGTTCTAGTCGGGCGCCGCTATTTACAATGTAACTCAATGATAATAGGCGGGGTATTCCGATAACAGAACAAATCTCAACTTTTCGGATAAAAGATAATCGTCGAGTATTCCGAGTGAAAACGGAAGCGGTGCATGTAATACTGAATGACACCTTTAAAACGGAAAGAATGAAAGGAATTTTTAACGACTTCCCCGTTCATAGGCTTTGCCTAATTTCATATTACTATTTTTTTAAGAATACCATACGATATTTTAATTTATTTAAATATACCATAGGCTGACAATTTGGTCAGCTGACTGAACCTTACCATCTTCACACCTGGAATTCAAAGATTAACCATGAAGCCAAGTCCATATCTGGCAGTGACACTCAACAGCTCAATAGCTTGTGTTATGTTCCAACTTTGAAATGCAATAGAACTGCTTGCTTCTTCTTTCAACATGTGGCCCACACATGGCCAGTATTTCTGCCAAATCAAGGCATGCTTTCAAGACTCTCTGAAAATAATTTGAATACAAACTTACTTAGTGTGACTAACAATGATTTGGGACGAAAAAACTTCGGGACGAATCGACGACCATAGAGTAAACCATGATTTAACTTCAAAACGCCAATAATAATTTTTTTTTTTATTTGCAGAAGATTCAATCTTAATTTAGATAATCAAATGCAAAAGAAATTACATCGGGGACAAATCTACTTACCAAGAAATTAACACGAAAACAAAATTATCGTGGAAATCGTGCGCTTGCTTTGCAGCCAATCAAATTCTGTCACTTACGCATCATTTTGGCGGTTGCCGTCAATCTCCGAAACGATCGCAGCATCTCGGTCTTTTCCGTCAAATTTCGGCAATCGGACCATCTCGGCTATTATTGAGATTGTTGGGTTAAGCGAAAATAAGATAAATCACGGAAATAGCAGTTTCTAAAAAACATTTCAAAAAGAAACAGACAGGAACAATTTAATTAGATGTTTTGGTCTATAGGAACATTGATTTGATTTTTTACAGTAAAGAAGGAATACTCTGCCTGACAATTTTAGAAAATGTTCAAATTTTGCTCAGTTTAAAAAGTTAATTTCATCCTGGAATGGTAATAATAATAATAATAATAATAATAATAATAACTTTATTTACCGAAGGTAACACATTAAGACATATACAGATTGCAACATCTTATTTACAATGCGGCCTTCTAAAATAAAAAAAAATAAAATAAATAAAAATAAAAAAAAAAACACACACAAAAGAACACATATCAATCAAAGAAAATATAACATGTAAATGAAATGATTAAATGGTTATCACAATTTTAACATATATAAACACATATACTGAACATTCATACAATTCATTTTATTTATCATTAAACATAATACTTTCATCAGTGCATCATTTTAATCAACAATTTAAAAAGTAAAATTAACTTACAAAATTAACACAGTCAAAAAACTTGAAACTAAGACAGACACCCATTATTAGAAAACATAATAATAAAAAACACATGTATGAATATAAAGAGCGTATCTTGTATATATAATACATACGGACCGTGCTAAAGTTGATTAAATAAGTATTTCTCGAAACTATTCTTAAATATTGACAATTTTGTTTTTCTTCTTATAGTCAGTGGTATGGAATTCCAAATAACCATGGCATTAAATTGGAATGTGTCATTAAAATAATTAGTACGTGGTTTGTAAGACGAAATTAAATTTCCGTTAGATATCGATCTTAGATTATACTTTTGATTATTAGATATGGTAAGTAAGTCTCGGATATATTGAGGGGACATATTATTCAGTGCTTTATATACTTGGACACCGGTGTGAAAAATACATCTTTTCTTGAAAGGCAATATTTTTAATCTTTTGTATAAATTTTCTGATTGCTTTCTCATTGGAAGGTCTAGAATAATTTTGCAAATCCGTGTTTGTATTTTGTATATTTGGCATATATATTTTTTGTTTTCTTTTCCCCATATATTACAACAATAATCAAAAATAGGAAGAAGGTATGCATTATAAAAAAGCATGCGAGATTCCTTATTTAAAAAGTACTTTATACGCCGAAATAAATTAACTTTAGAGTTCAATTTTTTACACACATCATTTACCTGACAGTGCCAATTTAGTGTATTTTCAACATAAATACCAAGCAGTTTTTGTGATTCTACATTGTCAAGAGTTGAGTCGTTAATTTTCAAATTTAATGCTTTTGCAATCTTTAGCTTTTGTCTACTACCTACCAGCATACTTTTAGATTTTTTAGGGTGTAAAAGCATATTATTTATTTTACACCACTTATTAATCATATTAAGGCTACATTGTAGTTTTTCCTCTATAACGGATATGTCATCTCCAGATTTATGCAACGTGGAATCATCAGCATATAAATCTATGTTAACATCCTCGCAAATATTTGGGAGATCATTTATATAAAGAAGAAACAGTAAAGGACCTAATATTGAGCCTTGTGGAACGCCAGAGGTAACATATTGTACGTCAGATTTTAAGTCTCCAATTTGAATTATTTGCATACGATTAGACAGATACGAATGAAACAGTTTTAATGATGTGACAGAAAAGTGATAAAGTTTGAGTTTATATAAAAGTATTTCATGGTCAACTAAATCAAACGCCTTTTGCAGGTCTAAAAATACTGTACCTATATATTTGCCACTATCAACATCTTTTAGCCAGGAGTCTATCAAATGAATTAGGGCCGTATTGCATGAATGATTCTTTCGAAATCCTGACTGTTTATTATGTAAAATATTTGTTTTTTGGAAAAAATGCTGTAACTGATTAGCTATGTGACGTTCAAAAATCTTAGATATTGTAGGCAAGATAGAAATAGGTCGATAGTTGCTCGGATCATCTTTCAGTCCAGATTTGAAAATTGGAATAACTCGGGCATTTTTTAATTCATCGGGAAATATTCCTTGTCTAATACTGTTATTAATTATGCTAGCAATCATTGGGGTCTCAAAGTCACCACACGATTTTATTATTTTTGGACCTAGTTCATCTAGTCCAGTGGCTTTATTTGCATCTAGTTTATCAATAATGTTTTTAACTTCAACCGCAGAAATGCTTTCAATTTTGAATTCTTTCCATTTCAATTTATTATCTAACTTATCCTTCAATATTTTAAATTCGTCGTTAGATAACTGTACTTTTTCGACAATATTAGAAATGTTTACAAAATGTTTGTTCAATTCATTTATAATATTAGCATGATCAGTAAATGTAGTATCGCCAAAAGTGAGCCGTTCGGGAATAAGTACATTTTCCTTTTTACCTAAATTAGTTAAATCATTAATATTTTGCCAAATATATTTTGGATTTTTTCTTTCATTTATTGCATTGTTGAAGAAATTCTTTTTGCTTTTCTTAATCTCTGAATTTATTTTATTTCGTAATAATTTATAATTATCGAAATCTCCATTTTTGTGATATTTATCTCTTAAAAATATCATTGCTTTAATTTCATCAGTGAACCATTTAGGCTGTGCATCAAATTTAATTCTCTTTTCTTTTATTGGAGCATGTTTGGTAAACAGTGTAAATGTAATGCTTGCAGCTAACTTCTATTTATTTATTTATTTAATTATTTACTCCACTTTTATTTATTTTTCTGGGTATGAACATTTTTTTTTTTTTGGTCTCATTTATTATTTATTTTCAGTTTCTTCAGTTTTTGCTTTAAATGTGTTTTGCTTTTCTTCCTTGCATGTTTCCTGCTTATGGTAATATTGTCATTTAGTTTCTAGATAGGATGTTGCTTTATTGTGATCTTTTGTTTTTTGTTGTTTTTTTTTTTTTTGGTTTTTTTTTTTTGCTTATCTTTCCAGCATGACTCAAGCTAGCTGTTAAATGAGTTCAACTGTTGACTTACATGTATGATACCTTCTGTCTTTGTGTAGTCTGATAACCCATAGTCTTTCATATTTAAATTATATATAAAAAATGTATGTTTATTTTTATTTTTTTTTTAATATTTTTATTTATTTATTTATTCATTTAACTATTCATTAAATTTTTAATTGTTTAATCGGTACATTATTGAATTTTAAGTAAATTTTTTAGATACTAGACATTGTAAGCATAGTTTAATATACAAACTAATGATGTAGAATTGGGTAAACTATCATTTAGTTTTTTAGCATCTGATTCATTTTTATAAAAATATCTAAAAAGGTCTATTTTATGTATGTGATGTATATATATCATGTCTAATCATTTTTTATTGTAGCTGTTTTATCTTTGTTGATCTTATACTTTATGTTATATACAGTCGGTTATAAAAGCTTCTAGAGCTTATGTTGTACTGTTGAAAACTTGCCGACTTGAAATAAAACTTATCTTATCTTATCTTAAGATAAGCATTGTTACAAATATACAGTTCTATAGGCTGTCCCACAAAATTTGAATATTCCATTTTTTATGCAAATCATTTAAATTAATGTCATATTAACATTGACGTCAATATCTCTAGGCATGTTTTCCTTTTTATTCAAACAGTCAGTAATATGGTCACAATGTTGAAATTATATTTTTTCAAACATTATACTGCTGTGTGCTACCGGTATCTTATCAACAACTTGTCTATAACTGCACTTGTATTGCATTGAATGCATGTTACTGCTAGCTAGAGGCATGGATACATAGAGGCGGGCTTATCGGTTATAAGCTCTGAACTTTGGTCACTGCGCATCACAGGTTTTTATGCATATATTCTTGACATGCGTTTTTATGTAAAATATTATCAAGCTATTGAGATATCAGTTTCTTAGCCATAATATAATTATTTTGTAAAGTCCCAAAGCTAATTTGCCCAGAAATAAGAATGAAATCATAATCTAGACCAACGAATATTTGACTTGTCAACGCGACATTATGATGATTTTGGGCGGGTCCTTTTCTTTCTCCATATCTAAGCATGAATTATAGTCAAACCATTCTCGCCTAATCAACCAATTACATTTTATTATTATATTAATGATCCTGTTATCAACTATATATGTACTTTTGTGGAAAATGTATGAAATATAAAATGTATGCTTTGTCATTATTTCAATATCTGGACTTGAGGTTTTCAATAATATAATTCAAAGCAGACCAGATATGTACACTAAAAATAGTCAAAATATGACATGTAACTTAAACATAATACGCTAAGTAACCTCTCCCGCTGGATACCAATATAACCTAAGACATGTATTACACTTAAAACCAGTTTGGAATGCTAATATCAGAAATTTATACAATCAAGATATAACGTTTGGCCATTTTATTATTAGCTAATTTGTTATGAAAAATTGAATTGTATACAATAACTTCCAGTAATTATCAGGTTATTTTCGCTTAAAGCAGCATGCCTCAGGATTCATGTTAATTTTCATGAAAATTTTGAAACTGTTTTTAAATGTAAATATTGTAAAGCAATCAAAGAAAGTAATTTACACATTGCTAATGGCCCTTACAACCCACGTATATTACCAAAAAAGAGATAAACACATGCAAAAATAATGGTAATAAATACTTGAAAATCGGTCATGAATCGCACATAACTTATAAATTATCACTTGGATCTTGATCTTTCTATTTTTCTTAAAACCTTAGAACATTTCTCTCAAGTTTGATTTACTAGAAATATAACAACTCATCTGGAGGCATGCAGCTTTAAATAAATTTGTGGTGAAATGCAATTTTAATGTCAGTTTTATTATGTCCGTATATATTTCTATTCCCAACGACATACTATGATATTCACCTATTACTTACAGAGAACGGCAACATATACCTCTCTGTATATTATTTTAGACATTTATATTGCAATTCAATAAAACAAAAACTAACGACATTCAATTAAATTGTTAATTAGCTTTTTTTCATACGTACGTCTTTACTGGGATTTGTACTTTATTGGCGCCGGGTAAGTGACCAAAAGCCAACCAGTTTATTAAACAGCTAGTTACATGTATATTATTGTTATAATAAATTTGTATAAACAAATACAAATTTTTTTTAATATACCAAGTAAAAACAAGGAATCAGCTCTTTTATAACTTTATTTCTATAATTCAACTAGTAGAATGAACATTATTGCAAATGATGAGTTTGTGGATAATACAATTAAGATGCACATACCTAATGATGCATGGAATGAACTACATGTATAAGCAGAGTTAATAAATAAGTTTTCATGCATTATTCTACAGTGGTAAGTTTGACAACAAACTATGTATTTAATGTCCATAAACTTCTTTCAGTTTAAATCATCCTTTTAAATCAACGGAATCGTTTTTAACAATCGAAAGAAAAACATTATGTGAATATTTAAAATAAATAAGTTTTCTTGCACAATTCTACAGCGATAAGTTTGACAACAAACTATACATTTAATGTCCATGGACTTCTTTCAGATTAAGTCACCCTTTTAAAAACCAACGTACACGTTTTTTAACATCAAAAGAAAAAGGATTAAGCGAACATTTTAATCTACAGGATCTATATTACATATATAATGAGTACAGCAATTTAACAAAATGATTTTACCACAAAAGATCTTCTTATTGATTTAAATTCAACATCACAGTACAACATTATTTTGCTATATCCTTCGTCTCAGCCGATGGTATTACATTGTAGACACGCATGTACGTTGCGCCTTTGTACACGATATGATGGTGTCGATATGAACCACACAGTCAGCATAATGGTGGAAAATACAACGAAATTGTGGATTCAGAACAACCCAACGCCAGTCCTCCTGCTTGTTTTACATGCTTTGAACATTTATTTAATTCTTAGCAAGGTATTGTCTAAGTTTATTTTCATATTTCATTGAAAACAGTCTAACTTCCTCGTACTCGTCCCTGTTTCCGGCTTGAATGAACCAGTTACATCGCGGCATCTGAAAACAGGTTTTACCCGTCCCTTCTTCCAGAAACCGGTACTGGTATTTTTCGTCCACGTTAAATTCATCAAGTTTTACAACAAAGAAACGAGTGTGAACGAAGGTCCTCGGTTGGGTTTTCAAAATGGTTGGCTTCACTTGTAACACTGTTTGGATAAGTAACTTTGTAGCACTCAGATGGCCACATCGTAGGGCAAAATCTAGAGGCGTCCAGCCATGTCTGTTCCGGGCTATAAGAATAGAATTCATCTCCTTCGGAAACGCTGTTAAAAGTTTACTTATGATGTTTGCTTTTCCATTTGCTGCACATATGTGAAGAACGTTATTTTCTTGATCGTCCATGGCTAGCGGATCCACCTTCTTCGCGAGAAGTAAATCAATAATTGTCTCCCTTCCCCAGCCCGCCGCAATGAGTAGTGGTGTGAAACCTAATGTGTCTTTAGCGTTGACGTCAGCTTGTCTTTTAAGCAATATTTTGACAACCTCTATATTGTTCCAGTCACAGGCATGATGAAGGGGCGTCTGTTGTGTTGCGTCCCTGTCATTAACGCTCGCACCACTTGTCAACAGCAGCATGACTGTCTTCAATTTACCTTTAAAAAAAAGAAAATTTAAATTGCGCATATCTTTTTATTTTTGTTGCCCTGTTATAGTTTCCAAAAAGTTACTCATTTGCCCAAGAGCCTGGATCCTCTTTTCCTTCCAATTATTGCAAATATATTTGTTTAGAATTTTGTATGGAAGTCAAAAAACACTGTTAACATATTACAATTTACTACTTTTATGACAACTAATTTTACTTTAATTACCACTTTAGTCAAATGACTAGCAATAAGTCTGAACATTATAAAATTCATGTTTGCCCTTTCTAAAAAAATCGATTTATTCCACTCTGGGGAATAATGTGTCTTTGACTAAAAAGTTAAGTTTAAATGCATTTTACAGTAGCTAACAATTACAAATATTTTAGACATTTAATAAGGCTTTTTGATTACAAAAGGTCGTTTTCTTAAATTGTGCCGAAGCGAAGCTTTAGCAAGAGAATGACTGCACAATATAAAAGCACACACACTAAAGCATTTTTTCTGATAGATATACTAAGACGTATACTTCTCTCTAAGGTAATACAAGTATTCTCTTTGAAAAAAGCCCCACAAATTAGAATATGAAAATCATCAAAAGAACCTGATTTCACGGCCTCACACAATGGTGTTGTACCAGCCCTGATTGAGTTTACTGCCACATTGTCCTGCAGTAATAATGTTACAATTTCCTGAGTTTCTGTCCGGATACCTCTACTAGCTCGAACCAATGCCATGTCCTTCTGTTCATTGCTCCATTGCCGCCTCTATATATTACATCAATGTGGTATTATTAGTATTTATACTAAAGGATTTACAAGTTTTATTATGAAACACTTTAAATAGTCACTGTCGAGTTCGATTCGGTGGTCGGTTTAGCTAACCTACTTTCATGGATACAATTCTAACAAGTTATAACCGATTGCTCCGCATGTAATCCACTACTTATCTTTCATGCTATCTGATTCAGCAGTGAGAGACACATAACCTTTAAGATCAATTGTCATGGAGAAATTGCCACTCGCCCGAGTATCGAACTAGCGACCCCCGGATTACAAAT